TTCTTCAACAACGTCATCCACTAGACTTGCCCATAGTGGTTCTTCTTCAATCCAATGAATTCCTGTCATTCGGCAAGGGACTCGTGGCCCTAGCCGAGATTTGACAGACCTTGAATCTGCCTCTATGGTAAGAATTTCTTCTCCCGTCTCGCTTTCAGGTTGAGCCATCAGAGATTCCAAACGAAATTCCTCAAGAGACGGATTGATGTTGATTCGCTCGCAATACCGACATCTGAAACCTTAAACTCTCTCATCTGATGCTCCTTTACCCCTCTTCTATGTGGACCGACCTTCCACAGGATAATCAGCAGTGCCTTGTACATCGTTCGACTGCTTTGTTGAGGAGACTCTTATGGACAGACCTCCTACAGGAGCGCCTTGTACATCGTTCGGCTACCTTGTTGAGGAGGCTCTTATGGACCGACCTCCTATAGGATGACCAGCAACGCCTTGTACATTGTTCGGCTATTTTGTTGAGGAGATTCTTATGGACTGACCTCCTACAGGAGCGCCTTGTACATTGTTCGGCTGCCTTGTTGAGGAGACTCTTATGGACCGACCTCCTATAGACCAGCAACCCCTTGTACATTGTTCGGCTGTTTTGTTGAGGAGACTCTATTCCTGTACCTCGCAGCATACCTGCGTTTGGCATTACGAATTTGGGTACGATTCATACCAGGGAATCGAGGATCAATATTAACCGGTAAAGGTTTTTTATTTCGGGCCCAATTGTTCCCGACCAAGCCCGTCATTCTAGTCGGGTGGTCCCGGACCAGTACTTTTTCCTTCAATTCCACATCAAAAGAACCGTCTTTGATTATCCAATTTTTCTGCCATTGGCTTTTCATAAACCTTGAGCCTTTCTTCTTGTTGGCCATTGTTTGACTGATTTCCTCTTCTCGGTTTGGGACTTGCTTGTATGTCAACCATTGTTGTGGATACTTTTGGAAAAGGTTGTTGCTCCACACCCAGAGTAATATATTTGAACCGACCTGCCTTGATGGCCTTTTGAATCTCCTTTCGAAAATGGGTGCATTGACTTGTATTGTAAGTGAAGGAATTATGCCACTTACAATATGATCTTCCTTTAATCTCTTCTTTGGTAGCCAATCTTTGCCCTTTTGGAATTCGGATCTGGCCATCAGTCAACAGAATATCAAAGATTTCGTCAGCCTTTGAACTGTCGAATGTGGGTTGGTCTCTTCCTTCAGTTCCTGGCAATGGCTTTAGTTTGGGGCACACCTAAGGCTTTCCAGAGATGATTTCGGCTGCCATTTCCTCTGTTTGATCCAAATCAAAACCGTATGTTTCTGTTTCCATGCTAGGCATATGTTGAATTTTATTACGTCTGAAATTCTGATCTTTCTCCCTGAAATGAGATTCTACACGTCCAGCCTTGGATGCGAGACTTGCCAAATCTTCCACATCATGTGCAGTGAGCGTCTCTCTTAGGCGACCTTGCATATTTCGGACCACTAAATTGGTCATCTCTTTTTCGTTGATTATCATAGGACATCGCCCTTTAATCAATCGTATCCTTTCGATACACTGTGAGGCTGACTCTTCTGGATATTGTGTCATTTCCAATAAGTCGGTAAGAGAGACGGTTGGTACAAGATTGAAAAATCTAGTATGAAACGCCATCTCTAAACCTTCCCAAGTTTGTATTTGCCCAGGGGGCAGATTTACAAACCATGAAAAAGCTGTTCTGGTAAGAGACAAACCAAATAGCTGCAGTTTATAAAAAGGGTTATTACCAACTTCTCCTAACTGCGCTGTAAAATGACCCACATGCTCTATGGTAGAGGATCCATCTTCTCCAGAGAAAGCATGAAAATTTGGTGGCCTGTAATTCCTCGGGAGAGGATACTCATTAATGATTCTCTCTGGAAACGGCCTTTGATAGGCCGGGCGGTTAGCTATCTGAGGATTCAGACCGAAATGAACCCTCAACACGTGCGCAATTTCCTCAGGATCTAAATGAAGGTGTTGATGATCAGGGATATGGATGGGATCCTGCACATTTCCTCATTGCCTTTCTTCCCTTATAACGTTCTGCTGAATGTTGTCAACTCTTGGTCCCAAAGGAACATTATTTGGGAAAGTTAGCGGAGTCTTTCCCCTATCTGTTCGATTGAAAGTTGTGGCTCTTGGAAATGTAATATCAATGTATGATGGCCTTGCAAACGTTGATCCTGGAAAAGTCGCCTGAAAACGAGAAGGTGACAAGGCTGGAGGCGTATTTTAATGAAATGTGACTTTGGCCAACGCCTGATCCAACATGTTCTGCATCAAATTCTGTTGATCGTGCAACATTGTTTGCATAGTAGCCATTTGTTGATTGTTCAATTGCTGAACATAAGTTAACCATTCAGGTTGCACTTGAAATGTTCCTCCTGTAGTCGTAACAACTGTGGTCGGATTTGATGTTGTTGCAGAAACTCTAACACCGGTGGTGTTGTTCTGAGATTGAGTGATTGCCATTGTGTTTCTACTTATGATCCACCTAGAGCGTAAACGTATGAAATCGTTATTGAAAGTAGGATTAGCAATCTTGCTTTCTTCTCCCACTGTGGTCGCCAATTTGTTGTTGTAATTTTTCAACAATAAAAAGTAAAATCCGAAAATAATTTCGAACTTGAATAAAAATCTATTTGTAGCTAAAACAGTAAAATACATGAAAATTGAAATTTGACCCCCAAAAGAAATCTGCAAACAAGTTGATTTTTCTGAGATTTGAAGATTCCTTCTACCATAAAATCCAAATCCTTAAATATTCCTTTAAGAAGATGCTTGGAATCGTCATCTGAACGGTTACCATAACTACTCTCAAACACCCACCAATTCCTCCTTCAATGACACGTGTCTTTAACCGCTCCGCCAACCGCTTATACCAGTTCCAGAATTCAACTGGATCGACCGACCACCTCTGGGCGCCTTACTTCTTTAAATGGACGGCTAGTCCTGAACGAATGCTCTAAACGCCCAACATGCTTCAGACAGACTGCAGGCCGACCGACTGAACCTACTGAATAACTCAACAATTTACCAACCGACTGGTCGCTAGACCAAACGACTACTCAGTTGCCCACTCGAGCGACCACCAATTAGTCCTCTCAAATAACTGGACAACCATCCGTCCAGACGATTCACTGAGCGTCTGATCTTCTCTTGTCCGACCTTCATATCAGCCGTCTCATCCTCTTTTGCCCGACTTTTGTCCGACCTATGTGCCATCTGACCTGCTCAACCGACCGTCCGACCTCATTTGGTCTAACCTCTGTATCAACCGACCAGCTCAACCGACCGTCCGACCTCATTTGGTCTGACTACGGACCAACCGACCTCGGACCAAATCGACTTCGAACCAACCGACCAGCTCTGTTTGCTTTATCTCCTTAGATGATGGACAACTGGTTCAACAGAGTATCCTTAAAAAAACCCCTAATCAATCTGGTGGGCCCAACGACGGGCCCACATCTCATCTTATCTTGGGCTTTTTATCCTAATTATAAAATTGGTACGTAACAAATATAAAGAACCAATAGAACATATGCTAAATAAAAGAAACTTGAAAAAGGACCATTATTTTTGCATTGAAGAGCAAATAGAATTTGTGAAAAATACATTTATTCAGTAAACAATGATTTTTCTCTTTACATATTTTAAATTTAAAAAATTTGTAAAAAATAGTAGTAAATAACAAAAATAAATAAATCACACAAATAGTAGCCTGTAAAAATATACATTCATTCAGTAGACAATGGTTTTTCTCTTTACATATTTTAATTTTAAATAATTTGTAAAAAGAAAAAATAGTAAATAAAAAAATAAATAAATCACAAAACTAGCCCGTCACACTAGCCATCCTTACGGGTTGTTGATTTGGTTCATTGGTTTAGCCACATGTGACGAGACACGGGGGAATGGGGAATAATTAATAAACAACAAATACCAGTCAATTTTTATAAAATAAATAAAAGTATTACATTATTCAAACATTTTTCTCTATTTATTACATAGATAATTAATACATTTAAATTTCACCTACAACTTCATTTCATATTTATTATTTGTATTACATGAGAAATGTTAATAGGTGCTGAATTTAGAAATCAGCGGCACACATAAAATATAGAAGCAACACACGTTTTTATTATATATAATATATTTTATTTGTAATAAAAGTATATGCTGTTAGTTCATAATTATAGTGTACACTGTATGAAAATATATCGAGTATTAAAATCAAATATTAATTGTGTTGTTAGATCATCTGTTTGTATTTATATTATATTAAAATAGATTTTATGTTGTTTATTGCAATACTTTGTGTTGTCACGCAGCACGATGTCCTATTTTGTACAGCACTAAATTTAGCCGCTGCCTTGTATACATACGTAATATATGTATTTGTGTAAAAGATACCTTTATAATAGAAACTGAATATGCCACTTTCAATAGATTTAGGGATATTGGGACCCTTAATGGCAATGTAAGGAACCATATTATGCTTTGTTTGATAAGATATTTTTGATACAAAAATCCCAACACTCTCTTGTGGCCATTACGGAAACAAATACATTAATTAATCAATTAATTAGTACATCCCACACAAATATGTATGTAAATATGTTTGTATGTATGTATTATTGGCATTTAGTTTAAAGTAAAATATGAATATCACGAAATGAAAAGACACTTTTGTGGACTCTATCTCAGCCATAGAAAGCAAACAGCCAAACACGCCCTAACTCTGGGCCGTACACATGGCCACTAATTTGTCGCCACGTTTTCCTACGGGAAGCTTCACAAGCAATCATATCTCCACCGTCCCCTTCACGTGAACCCAATATCACAGCCGTCGCTGACTGCACCGTTGGAATTTCGACACGTAGCATTATGACACGTGTCGAGATCCTACTGTCCCTTATTTGGGGATATCTTATCGTTTTTGGACTCTCGGCTACTATATATATGTATACATTTCTGCTCGTTTAATGTCTTACAAGTTAAAACTCTTGGGCTATATTTTCTATCAAGGCGTAACCGATTTCTGTTAATCTTGTTTTAGGAGTGTTTGATTTTTGTGTGTGTAGCGATGGCGATGAGTTTGCCGCATCAGATCGGAGCGATTTCTGGATCTCCTTTGCCTGCGGATTCGGGGACGATTTCCGGCGAGGCGCCGTCGTCGGCAACCGTCAGCGCGGTGTGGAGGCCTCCGGCGGCGACGAATTTGCGTGTTTCGGTGCGCAGGAGTGGCGCGGAGATCGACCGCGTGTCTCCTTCGCCGCCGATGAGTCCGGTGCGCGGCGGCGTGAGGGCGGACTTGTCGGTTGCGGCTCAGGCGCTGGTGTCGGAGGCGGTTACGAGCGAGGATTTGAAGGATAAGGAGTACGCCGTGGGTAGAGGCGTGGCGCCTGTTAAGGAGAAGAAAGGTGTGCCGGTGTACGTCATGATGCCGCTGGATAGCGTGACGTGGAATCACACGGTGAATCGGAAAAAGGCAATGAACGCGAGCCTGCAGGCGCTGAAGAGTGCTGGCGTGGAGGGGATAATGATGGACGTGTGGTGGGGATTGGTGGAGGGTGAGAACCCTGGCGAGTATAATTGGGGCGGATATTCGGACCTCCTAGAGATGGCCAAAAAGCACGGCCTAAAAGTCCAGGCGGTGATGTCGTTCCATCAGTGCGGCGGAAATGTTGGGGATTCCTGCACGTAAGCTAACTTTTCATTTTCACCTTTTCCAACTCCTAATTACGTAAATTCAATTGTGTTAGATGAATTATCTGTTGTTGATTTTGCTGCAAAACCGCTTCATCTCAATTCTATTATGCGAATTTGTTGAAATTGTTGGTTAAAGTAGTCCTCTAATGGTAGTACGGTCAGAGTCATTATTTTGTTTCCAATGTGATGTGTTCACGAGGATTTCGAGATCTGAAAAAGGAGGTAGATAGCTTGCTTTATGCGTGTATACTTTATTCTTCATTGATTCATTGGATCTGATGTTGGGAAAGGTGAATGAATCTTCTTGATGAAAAGGCTACACAGAAAGTACAGTAAAATAATTGGGTTTGTATATTTCCCCAACTCCTGTTGGCTAAGTAAAATCTAATTATATATCTGGCAGATAGCTTTGAGATTAATTAGTGAATCAGATTAAATGACTGATATACTTTCTTGGTTAGCAAAATATTAATCTTCTATGCTGGTTTAGCAATAAATCATTCATGCAAAACGGTTATTTTGTGCAGAATTCCTCTGCCGAAATGGGTAGTTGAGGAGATCGACAAGGACCCTGATCTTGCCTACACAGACCAGTGGGGCAGGAGGAACTATGAATACCTTTCACTTGGATGTGATACCCTCCCAGTGCTCAAGGGGAGAACCCCTGTCCAGTGTTACTCAGATTTCATGAGGGCATTCAGAGACACATTTCAGCATCTTCTTGGGGATACCATTGTAGTAAGTTCCCCAGCAATGGTTTAACATGGATTATGAAATGTGTTTCTTTCTCAACTGACCCCTATTTCCACCAGGAAATTCAAGTCGGCATGGGTCCAGCCGGTGAGCTTCGCTACCCATCGTATCCCGAGCAAAACGGTACCTGGAAATTCCCTGGAATCGGCGCCTTCCAATGCTTCGACAAGGTAAACAAACCACCCCCGAATAAGTGTATCATCCTTTAGTGTATGGAATTTTGAAATGATTTAGGCACAGTCACTCATAGCAAGTTGTTTTGCAGTACATGGTGAGCAGCTTGAAAGCATCTGCGGAAGCTTCGGGCAAACCTGAGTGGGGACACACCGGCCCGACTGATGCCGGCCACTACAACAACTGGCCGGAAGACACCAACTTCTTCAAGAAAGAAGGCGGGGGATGGAACTCCCCGTACGGCGAGTTTTTCCTCTCGTGGTACTCCCAGATGCTCCTCGACCACGGCGAGAGGATCCTCCAATCCGCCAAGACCATATTCCACGACACCGGCGTTAAAATCTCAGTCAAAATTGCCGGCATCCACTGGCACTACGGGACACGGTCCCACGCCCCCGAGCTCACCGCCGGCTACTACAACACCCGCTACCGCAACGGCTACCTCCCGATCGCCCAAATGTTGGCCCGCCACGGCGCCGTATTCAACTTCACCTGCATCGAGATGAGGGACCACGAGCAGCCGCAGGATGCACAGTGTATGCCGGAGAAGCTCGTGAGGCAGGTGGTTTCGGCCACGCAGGAGGCCAAAGTCCCCCTGGCCGGGGAGAATGCGCTGCCGAGATACGACGACTACGCCCACGAGCAGATCTTGAGGACTGCTGCACTGGATGCCGGAGAGGGGGAGATGTGCGCTTTCACGTACCTGAGGATGAACCCGGATCTGTTCCAGCCGGAGAACTGGCGGCGGTTTGTGGCGTTCGTGAAGAAGATGAGGGAAGGGAAGGATGCGCACAAGTGCTGGGAGGAGGTGGAGAGGGAGGCCGAGCATTTTGTGCACGTGACGCAGCCGTTGGTGCAGGAAGCTGCGGTTGCTCTTATGCATTAGGTGCTGAGGATGGAAATAAGACACGCCTAAAAAGCTTGTGGTAACTACTAATGAGTACGATGAACAAGTGTCTGTGTGTGTAGTTGTATTTTGTGGTGTTGTGTGGATCTTTAATTGTAATGTAATGTAATGTGATGTTGTAGTGTGTGGTAGAATTATAGGTATCTGTCTGTTTGTATTGTTTCGTTTTGATTACCGACTGCTACCATCGAGGCGTGTTTTTGGCCTTGATGACGAACGAACTGGGGACAAATGTTATCCTTGTATTTGTATTATTGTTTGTATAAATTTAGAATTCTGAAAGTACCGTGTTACAGGTATAGTGTGAGGCTGAAATTTAATGCTGAATTTTAAATTATAATAAAAATTAAAATACATTATTACGACTAACATCCTTTTAATACCATAACAATTACATATATAAAATAGAATATGGGAAATTCTTATTTATAGGATGTTATGTGACATGCTAACTCAACACATTCCTTCTTAATATACGTTTTCTTGAATTTAAGTTTTTTCTTAAAAAATGCGAACTTGTCCTTTGGAAGTGTTTTTGTAAAAATGTCCGCAATTTGATTTTTGCTACTACAGTGCTCTATCACAACTTCATGGTCTTGAACAGCGTCCCTAATGAAATGATGTTGAATGGCGATGTGTTGTGTTTGACTGTGAGGAGCAGAATTTTTTATCATTTCAATTGCAGACGTATTATCACAAGCTATCGGTGTTGGTCATTTCTGCATGTCACCAACATTCTCCAATATCCTTTGAAGCCAAATCCCTTGTGACGTTGCCAAGCTTGCTGCAACAAATTCAGCTTCCGCAGATGACTTTGCCACAATTTGTTGTTTCTTTGACACCCAAGAAACGAAACCTGTCCCAAGGGAGAAGCAATGGCCGGATGTGCTTTTCAAATCATCAAGACGTCTACCTGAATCGCTATCGCAGTAGCCGACCAAATGGACGAAATTGATGCCATAATTTACTGTCCATTTGATGTACTGTAGAACTCGTTTTGCGGCACCAAGATGTGTTTGGCTTGGATTCTGCATAAATCTGGACAACAGGCTTGATGCAAACATGATATCCGGTCTCGTAGCCATAAGATAAAGAAGATTTCCCACAATGCTTCTATATAAAATGTAATCACACCTTTTTTCTCCATCACCCTTAGTAAGTTTTCCACTCACAACAAGAGGCGTCGACACGGGATTACAATCAAACATACTGAATTTTCTAAAAGTAAGAGTCAATTTCACTATACCATGTCTGCAGTGCTTGCTTTAACCCATACAGTGCTTTGTTTAACTTATAAACTTTATTTTCCTCGCCTTCTTTAATAAAGCCTTGAGGTTACTCTACATATACGTCTTCCTTCAATGTGCCATTTAGAAATGCAGATTTGACGTCAAGTTGGTATAATTTCCGACCATTCTAAGCTGAGAAAGAAATAATTGCCTGAATTGTGTCAAAACGAGCAACAAGTGGGTTGTTGTGAATACCCTTTGCCACAAGTCTTGCCTTTCTTTTGTGAATTGATCTATCTAGATTTAACTTGGTCTTGTACACCCTCTTGATGCCAACAATTTGCTTATCTTGTGGTTTTTCTACCAATTTCCACGTATAATTCTTCTTAATTGCAGAAATTTCAACCTCCATTGCCTTTCTCCACTCCGTATCTCCAAATGCCTCGTCAAAATTTTTCTGGTTCAAGAACACAACATATTTACAAGTAGCATAAACATCACCTAACCGTCGAAAGTTCTGCGAGGACAAATCTGGAGTGCTGGAAGCTGAAGTACTCGATGATAGAGTGCTTAAAACTAGATTGCTTGGAGCTGAATCTGCTTGTGATGATCCATCACTCCTATGACCATCATTTTCCACTCCATTTGTTGCAATTTCCAGTTTGTCATCTCTCCATGAAACTTGTCTCACAACTTTGTTTTTAACCTAACTCCATATGGCTTCTTCATCGAATACAACATCTCGACTAATGATGATTTTGTTAGTTTTCAGATTAAACAATCTATATCCCTTAGTTTTGTGAACAATAATCAACAAAGAGACATCGATCACTTACTTTATCAAGCTTATACCCCTTCTACTTGGGAATTCGAGCATAACACACACTCCAAAGAATTCGTGAGTGCTTCACTGAGGGCTTCTTTCCACTCCATGCTTCAATTGGAGTTCAATTCCAAACAACCTTTGTTGGGCATTGATTAAGCAAGTAAATTGATGTATGTATAGCTTTAGCCCAAAATTCTGTTGGTAAACCTTTGTCATGAATCATCGTTTTCTCCATCTCCAACACTGTTTGATTTTTCCTTTCGGAAACTCCATTTTGTTGTGTTGTGTAACTCACTGTTAATTGCCTTTTGATCCCCTCTTCTTCAAACAACTGCTGAAATTCATTCGATGTGTATTCTTTCCCAGGATCACTCCTCAATATTTTAATGAGTCGGCCACTTTGCTGTTCCACCATACTCTTGAACTTCTTAAAGATAGAAAATACTACAGATTTTCATTCATGAAGTATACCCAAGTCATTCTAGAATGATCGTCAATTAAAAGAATGGAGTATTTGTAAACCTCCATGAGATGTTGTTTTCATGGAACCACATACATCCATATGTACAGGCTCCAAAATAGTTTTGTTCTCTCCATACAGCTTCCTTCGGAAAAGGTAGACGATGCCCCTTTTTGAGCGCACAACCCTCACACACCATTTTTTTCCTCAATTTGGGTAACCCATATACCATATCCTTTTGTTGAATCACTTTGAGACCATGAAAATTTAGATGCTCTAATCTCCTATTCCATATCCAAGAGTCACCTTATGTTGGACTTTCAGTGCTTGATTTTCTCCATCAACAAACTTTATTGGGAAGCTTCTATTCGGTTGCATTTTAATTGTGCCCAATAGTTGTTCCTTTGTCATAGATATGACATTCATTATTGTCAAAGTTGACCGTGTAATGGTGCTCCAGCAGCTGTCCAAGGCTTAAGAAATTTTGGCCCAAGTCAGGTACGAATAAAGCATCACGTATATATTTTCTACTTTGCTTTGTTCGAACATCAATTGTCCAATCCACGTGGTGCTGTTGTAACTCTATTTCCCATTTTCACTTTTGTTTGTACAGATTCATCCAATGGTACAAAGCTTGACTTGTCTTTGGCGATGTGATTGCTACATCCGCTATCAAGGTACTAAACATTAAGGTACCAAACATCGTCTTTTACGTTGGTAGCCATATGATATGTATAAAATAAGGTACCTTCCTCCTTTTCATCCAAATATTGTGCATGCTGATTTGTTTTGAATTTGTCATTTCTCTCAATATGGTCATATTTTCTGCAATATTTACACTGAGGCCTATCTTTTTGCTAACAGTCTCGATCAACATGATTGATTAATTTAGAAAAACCACAAGGTTGTGAATTTCCAACATGAGAAAAATCTTCGAGGTGTTGTTCTTCCTCGTCCTCTTGAATTTCAACCTCTGCCTCGGTCTTGTGTGTAACGTCCACCTCGTTGTGTGTCTCCTCCTTTCTGATAGAATATGAGAGGTATTCGCTCCATATGATTTGGAATTTATTGATGCCTTTGATTGAAATGTTCTTTTAGTTGTCTCCTTACTATGCCGAGCTATTATTTTTTTTTTTATGAGCCTTTAACAATCCCATCAAGTCCTGAACTTTTAAAATATTTTCAGGACTATATCTGAATAAAATATATGTAATATGAATATCATTTGGTAGATAATAAAATTTTATATAATACAAATAAATAAAAAAATTATATTTATTTATTTATAATTAATTTAAAACTAATTCTATAAAAAATGAAAAGTTTTAAATATAGATAAAATATTTATTTATTGAAGAGAGATAGAAATAAAGAATTTTTGAGTGGGCCTTACATGTAAAAAGTTATAAATTTAATTAAATTGATTTATATTTGTTAAGTATCACTACAAAAAAATATCAATTTTGTAACCAGATTTTTTCGTTGTTAAATCCACTTTTTCTGTTACTAATGATATTAGAGACGGAATTTGAGATGGAATTACGTTAGCTACGTGAACTTTAGTAACGGAATTTCGTTACGAATAAACTATTTTTTTGTAGTGTATAGTTAAAATGAATAAATTTACTAAAAATAAAAGAATAAAAAAGAAAAAAGTGTTATTATTTTTTACAATAAATGTTATTATTATTATTATATTTTTATTTTTATTTTCTTTAATTTTAGTTAAATTTGTAAAAATACATTAAATTATCTTTTTTTTTTTATTACTTTTTAAATAAGATATTCATTTTATTTAATTTATGTGCCGTATTCAAATATTTTAAATTTACTGCACAAAAGTGTACATTAAAATTGAAAAATAATCACTCTCAGAGTGTGTTTGTTTGAGGGTTTTGATTTTAATTTGAGATTTTAATAGTATATATTTTGAATTTGAGTAATTGAATAGTATGATATAAATAGGTATTGACCAAGGTTGTTACGGCGAGTATTTATGCATGGCGCTATTAGACTACCACATCGCCTAGGCGTGGCGCCCAAAATGACGACAATATGGCGATACGGCGACATGCTTATTATAAGTTTCTAAAATTCAATTATACAATATAAAATTATAATATCAAATCACTAAATTTTAAATCAAACATCAAAATACCAAACATAACAATCAAAATACTAAAATACCAATATGTCAATATATGAAAGTTCCAAAACACAAAAAAAGGCCCTCAATTTCTCAAATTCACATTAGTCTTTAGTGTTCATATCATCACCATCTTCATCATTTTCTTCATCCTCATTTGCCAAACGTCTGTTAGAAGGGCCATGACGACGATCATACACGATGGGCGGACCTGAAGATTCACCAACACCTCTACTACGAAGGTTGGAACTATTGAGATTACTTGAAGTACCTATGGCTTCATCAACAAGATGTCACTCAAGATCTCCATCTTCATGAACCAAATCTTTAGAATCATCAACCCATTCATTGTCCCATTAAAATTCTTCAAGAATTAAGGGATTAAAATTGCTTCTTTCTTCCCGCTGCATTTGACAGGGATGTGCAATCTTCCGATTATATTGAACATACACCAAATCATTTAGCCTTTGGTGCTCTGGTATATTTCTTTTCTTGGTATGAATCTAGAAATAAAATTTTATATCCAAATTTGAAGATTAATAGAAAAATATTAATATAAGTAAATTTTGAATAAATTTACTTACAAATTCAAATGTGCTCCAATTACGCTCACAATCGGCA